AGCGGCTTATAGCCCGACAATTACGGTACTTGGTTCCTTTGTAAAGTGTGTCAATGAATAAAGGGGATGCAAAAAATGTTCACATACATGTCAAGAAGCATTTGCTATCTAAAAATAGTTTTATATATCAAATCAAAACTCTCAGTTGAAAAAGAACAATAAATGAAAGTGGTATTTGTTGTTCTCCGGTCAGGGTGTGCGAGATGAAGATTAAGGCTTTTACATTAATTATAACTCTGCTTTGGTCATCTTCAACTTCCAGGTTAATTTCAGCTTAAACCAATTTTCCCACTCTCATGATTTACAGTTGGTATGATTCTCCTGACAGTACACAGAATTGCAAAGACAGACATGTTAGGTCAACTTGTAAGATTAGAAAAGCACTACATAAATGTGATTACTTTTTACATCTCTTAATGATTTCGTTGAACAAATGATTGCATGAGCTAATTTTTTCATCTGGTTATGTTGAGGTATGCCCACTGTATCTCTGGGCACTCTCTCTACAGTGTCTCCTTGATTAAATGTGCTAAAAATTAATGTATGTCCTTGGGTTGTGCTTTTCTGTTTTCCTAGGGACTATATATATAGTTTAACTACAGAGAAACTCTAAATTAAGTAAAGACCAAGTGGAAATTAAAAGATAAATAAGAGCATTTAGCAACTGTAGTAGTGGGAAAAAAAGACAGACCTTGCCAGTGATACCTAGTCATGCTTATCCCTTTTATTAATTTTTTTTTGCATTATTATTTTAATTTTGTATTTTTTTTTAGTACATTTTGTACCAAATGCATTTATATTGTAACAAATATTACAATTTTCTTCTTTCTTTTTCCCCTCTCTACCACCACAAAAAGCAATGAGCAACCTCACCTTCCAAATTACACCAGACTCTAACAAGGACAGTGAAACCATTCAAATGGGTCGTGACCTTAAGCTCTCATGCCATGTTGATGCCACCCCCCAGGACAAGGTCAACTATACCTGGTACAAGAACGGGGCACCAGTCTTCAACTCAGATAGTTTGATTTTACTGCGCAGTGACCCAGACATGGCACCTGGCACCAGCAGTCTGGAGATTGTGGACATGAAATTCAGAGACTTGGCCACCTACAGCTGCATGGCCAGCTTTTCAGGCAGCACAGTGCGAGAGCTTCGTGTTGATGTCAACATTTCTCAAAACAGCGGTAAGAGTTTCCCCTTTTTCCTTGTTATTCTTTGTACATGTATACGTATAATGATGGCTCAATAAATATTTGTCTATTAAGGCCACGAGCACATGCAGATTCAAATGGGTTACGGTTAGCTGTAAATCGCCCATGCATTTAATTAAGCTCTTGATCGTCATTAATAAATATGTATGGTGGCAACCACTTAATAGAGGTTAGGCAGTTGCTGTTTGTGGAATAAACAAACTTCTAAAACAAACATGTTTGAGTTGACTGATAAACTAATTGAACAAATGTTCAGGTACACAATGCTGCTTAACCTAAGCAGTACATTTAGTATGTAAAAAAAACAAACAGTTTTTCCTAAATCTAAAGGGGTGTAATTTTTCATGAATTTTATGAATCTTAACACTATCTCATGCCAATGATTAAATATTCTAGCAATCTGTGTTTTTACATCATGTGACATGTTAAAACATAATAGCTTAGTGGTTTACCCATTCACCTAACAACTGAAAGATCCTAGGTGTGATTCCAGGAAATCCATTTGTGGTTGCACCAAGAAGGGCATCTCAAAATTACAAATTAAATATGCAGAGCTACCCGCTGTGCTGCAACCCCTTGTGAATAATGGAACAACTGAAAGTTAGCGTCTTCATTCAGACAGTTTTTATCCCATTTCTTCCCTCTCTACCTCTGCCTTGCACTGCTTGTTGCTTTGATGGTTCAGTTGTGTGTGTTCATGTATTCTTTCTTGTGTGTTTTAAATCATAATATATACTTAATCCTAGTAATAATATTTTTAATGTTCCCACATGTCATTAAAACTGTGCGATTGTCTAATAAAATCAGCTCTTTAAATGTCAGTGCCTGTCATACAATTTTATTGTCCATCTGTCTCTGTTTCCCTAGTTTTTGCCAGTTTATCCATTAGCACTATCTGATATTTTAAATCATGTTTGCCCTCTGACTTCTTGTTAATTAATCCGAAATTTATTTTTGATCCAGAAAAAAAGTGCCAGTTTCTCGTTAGCTTGGCAACAAGGACAAGGATTACTTTATTAACCTTAGAGCCCAAGGTTATGTATTTGTGCTTACACTTTTCTAATGTTACTGACTACGTTGGAGGAT